TTAACTTGTTTGTTTATGTGTGACTAGATATACATCTGGAAATACATTTTTCTTTTTTGGAAAATTAAACCATATATTAAAGTTTGGTATATATGTTTGGCAGTATTTTTGGCCCAAAACACTTTATTTTTAGATAAAGCAATTATGGTACGTTTGGAACTGCTCTTGGCCCAAAAAAAAAAAATAAAATCTATGTAAATTTATCCCTTTATCAGATATTAAGTCATGTATTTAATTTTTGTGCCCACGGTCTGGAGGACTTTTGAATTGGAGGGGAGCGTTGGCCTTTGTGGCGAATCAAGATCTTATTTCTTAGTCTCTTCCCTTCTAAAACAAGTCATGTCTTTAATCGTGTAGACTCTACAAAATTATATTAAACTGATAAGGTAATTAGCATTACAATTCTTTCTATTTAAAGTCTCAAAATTATTATAAGTTGTTCACAACTACCTTATTAACTCAAATTCATAGGTCGGTCGTGCTCTCACATTTTGAGGATTACCCAAATGATTAGGCAAGACTTCTATTTATTAGTACCATATTGCCATTCATTTTTCTATATGATAGAGGTGAGTAAAAAACTCTGAAAAATCGATCCAACAAATAAAAATCGACTGAATCGACGTCATTCAGTCGATCTGATGAAATTTTTGGTCGAAATCGATTTTTTAATCTACAAAGCAGACTAGAAGTCGATCGATCTAGCCGGAAAAATGATTTTCAACCCAACCAACCGATTTCCAAACGATTGTGATAGTCTTGATGGGCACTTGTTTTCAAGTTTTTTTCTTTTTAATTCAAAATTTGTCTTTCTTTATTTATTCCATTCTCTATTCTTTCCTTCCTCCATTTTTTTCTTGCACTGTGGTCTCTTTCCCTCCATCTCACTTTTGTCTCTTTCTTTTCCTTTCAAGTCTTTACACCCTCTTATTGCCTGTTCACTCTTGCTAAACGCAATGACCATAGTAAGAGACTTTTTTGTGTTCTTTTTCAATTCATTTTTTTTTTGTTATTTCTTTAGTTCTTCTTCATGTGTTTCAGCATTTTTCTTCCTATTTTCTTCTTCTATTTAAATATATATATATATATATTCTAAATTGAAAAATCGATCGATCGAACCAATCAATTTGCCGGTCGGTGCAACGAAAGGAACAGAAACGTGTTGGTTTTCATTTTCTGAAAATCGACCTAGCCAGTTTCAACAGGGTTTCAGCAAAAAAAAAAAGGAAAAAGGGTTCCGCCCAACCAATTCTTACCCCTACTATATATGGACAACATCTCAATTCTATTTCTATTGGGAGAAGAATTTGTGATTGCATTACAAACATCTTTCCTTAAACTAAGCCTATCTGATGATTTTAAGCTCACGATCCCATATTTCTCATTTAAAATTTTCACATTTCGAAGTAAAATATATGAAAGTATTCTAAAAAATCTAAAAATATCATAGTGAACTTCGCTACACCAATGCTTTAACGAGAAACACACGATAATACTTTTAAAAGTGTGGAAACCAATCAAGATAATTCGTTATTAGCCATTTTTATTACCGTGCTTATAATTAATTAGAGTAGTTTTACTAAATGTACTTATTTTAAAGTATTTTCAAACACACCTTTAAAAGTAAGTGAACTAGTTCGATCAAAATAACTTTCTAGATTAAATGTTGCAGTTTGTCGCTTACGCGTACCTATGGCAAGGGTTGAGATCGACATGAATCCTTAGTGTATTTAATATCCCTTTACAAAGTTCGATAGACCTCGAATGATACTTTACTTCGATAAAAGACAAATTCATCATCATGGTATTCAAGCAAACATATTAGAACAAAGGTTTGTTTATGTATAAGTATTTCATTTCACGTACTATTTTTCAAAGTTATCTTAAACTCAATCTACAACATACTTAACTCTTTTGATCAAAAATTAAAGTTTTGAAGAGATAACCGTAAAAACTATTTATAATTTATGAGTGACATTCCTCTTCAATAATATATATGTTAAAACCTAACTACATGCAAGATTTTAAATGCAAAATTATAAAAGATAAAAAATTCATAAAAATTATTTAGATACATAGTAAACATCAATTCATCCCTTGTATCAATGTTTAGAAAAATTTAATACTCTTACTCCATGCAGCTATTAGATTCTCATTATTAAAGGAAAAAAAACACACACAAACACTGCACTGTTCACAGTACTTACAATTGGAAAATGGTAAATTTCTGTCTGTTTCTGTCTCTCTTTCCTTTTGGGTGAACAATAATGGAGGGTTTTTTAAGCTTTAAGGCTGTAAAAAGCTAAAGTAAAGTTGGATTTTGACTTAAAAAAAGAGAGCTTTTATTCATAAAGTTGTCCCCTTTTCTTCTTTTTTTTTTTCTCTCTCTCTTTTGTATAACTTCGAAACAAAGCATCCAAAAAAGTTTTCCAATCTTAACAAACCATGGACTCTCCATGGACCAAGATAATGGACACCACAACATCTCCTCCGATTATTTTTATCACTACGTCTTTGATTCGATCAGGTTGAGAATAATTTGGAATAGTGTATTTGCACCAAGAGAATAACTCACGAGGTGAGACATTAGTAACATTTCTTACAGGTCGATGGTTTGAAGCTCTACTTTCCTGTTTATAATGGTAGGAAAAAGAACCTAAACATGTAGAAACTATCCATAGAAATACCGAAAGATATTTGATACTAAGAGAAAATAATTTAAAAAAAAAAAGAAAGAAAAAGAGAGCCCACATTTAACATCACCAAATGCAAATGGACCACTCCTCATAAAGAACACTTTAATCAGCTTTTTGTTTTTTTACCATACATCTTCCAAAGGAGGACATTTTAATCCTTTCTAATCACATACAACATAGAGCTGACTTTTTTTTTCCTAAGAAATGTATCAAATTTTTTTATTTTTAATATACCACGTGTCACTCTATTTTATTTGGTCGTCTACTCTATTTTATCTCACAGTTTAGTCTCTCTCTTTTGTTATAGGCAATTACAATACCTCAAATCGTTCGTTTAGGTAAATGGAGTTAGTGACCAGGAGTACCTAAAATTATAATTCAAAGTTCATAGGTATAATTAAAAAAAATTAAGATTAGAGATTGAATAAACATATATCTATCAAATCAAGAGATTTTTTCGAGGTTCCTATTTCCAACCAAAAAATCAAGGAAGTGTTTTTGTGGTACATTTTAAACAAGGATTTCTCACCTTATTTAGGACAAGGTCTTATAATTAAAACTTGACCTTCACTAAAATTCTTGCCATTCTTGCCATTGCTAAGAACATATTATCAAATCAGAGGTTTACAGACTAGAAACACACCAAAATTTCAGGGCACGATCAAAGAGAATAACAAATAGCGAAAGCAACTTAGGTTAATGATGAGTAGATAGGAGAAAAAAATATCAATCCGAATATAGCTCAAATAGATAAGGTACTTATTACTGTCCTTAAAGCAGATGATTCGATCTCCACCCGTGTCATTGTTAAACCCGAAAAGAAAAATAACATAACATGGAAAGAAGATAAAGAAAAGTATGTGACTAAGAGGGGCATTTCCCCAAAGCCCATCCCCACCACACATGGGAGGGCAATTTTGCATTGGTTTTTGTCACATGAAAAGTAAAAAACTTTCCCCATCTCATTATGCAATTCACATTCATATTATCCAACACAAACTCCAAATCCTCACTTTGCCATCCAAATCCAAAACTACAACTTACCAACTCCTTGAAGTCCTTCCAACATGTAGGACAATTCTCCAAATGGGTTAGTTGAGATTATTGATTCAACATTTTTTTTTCCTTCCCACTTCTCTTATTAAGTTATTTTTTAATGTTATGATGTTTTTTTTTTGATAGTAATATAAGTTTTAAATTCATGGATCGAACAGAAAAATCATCTATATATAATATTGTTGTAATCCAATCCTTAGTATTATGAGTGAATTACCCACATCTGAGTGGAACACTGGACGTAGCCCTTAGTGGTGAACCTGTATAATTTTGTTGTGTCGTTTTTCTTATGCTTTACAGTTTTCTTCCTTATTTACATATTGTGGTGTATTTTTAATATTTCTGTGGAAGGGGAAATTATTGAGAGAACCATTAATTTTCGAACAAGCTTTACTAACAACAAAAATTATACTAAAATTTCATATCGTATGAAGTGCTCATATCAAACTTAAAATAAAGAATTCTCGGAAGACATTGATTGATCTAGAAGTTCTTTTTGCTCCGAACTTCAATTGTTTATCCGTTGAGACGATATATCTCTATCGTTCATCCTTTCTTCTTTTTAGTTCAACAATTACAGAAGTAAGAAAAATCACACTACCAATTTTAAAGATGGCGGTATAGATATCTTCATTTTGTTTTTTTTTTCTAAACGATATTTATTTTGTTGAATTATGCTCAAATTCGTTGTTCATCCTCGTTGTGTTAGCTTACAACAAAAAAACATATTTATTAACACAATGTTACATTCGTAAAATTCATCCTTGGGTCATGTTTCAGTCTTTGTATGTTTGTCTCTTTAATACAATAAAACCCAACAACAAGTGGATTGTACTAGTTGACTTGGTCATGATGTCATTGGATCAAGGTTATTATTTAATTTAATAGATATTTATTCAACATATTAATAATTTGATCATATTATCAATAAATATTAATAATTAAAACAAGGTTAAAATTATTAGTCCCTATAAATTCTAAAGCTTCAACTGAATTTCAATAGTCTTTCTTACCTATAATATTTTCTTTAAGCTCACGAATTAATTATCTTAAAAACAAACAAATAAATAAAAGTATCTTTGATTCACATGCCATGTGAGCCATTAATTTTTTTATGACATCAAGAAGATTTGGTACGTTAAATAAAAATATGGAAACTTAAATATACAATTTTAAAATTATAGACACTGAATTGAAATTAAACATAAAATAATGGGAATTAAATTTGAGAGGAAAAAGAAAAAGAAATTTAAGTAAAAAAATAATTTCATATTAAAACATGAATTAATTATTATGATTGGTGGTGGTACCTACACAGAACCTTACACTTTATCAAATTATCAAACACATAAAATCCCGGCGATACCATGATTCTCACCGTCGCCGGAGCTGTTTCGTCGCCGGCGATGTCCTCCATGTAAACGCCGTCGAACCTCGCTCCGGAATCCACTCTGAAGATCGGCAAGCTCGGGTGGACGGCGGTGGCGAGAAGATGAACCAGCCACACGCTCTTCGCCGCCGCGAAGAACGCCTGCAGCAGCGGCTCCGGCCAGGCTCTGTTCCACTCCAGCATTGCTACGATGTCGCTCATTTTCCGATCGCAGAATCTGCTGAACTCCTCGCTGAAATGCCTCGTTCCTTTGCTCAGAACCTCCTCCCAGGTCAGGCGGTGGAGGAGACCGAACGCCGCGATGTTCGATTCGGTCCGATCCGAAGGGTTCAGGATCTGATTCGGTGAGTTCTTCTGAAACCCTATCGATTCGAAGTCCTCGAAGAATGCTCTGTTAAGCAGCGCCTCGAGGTGGAAGGCGAGTGAGATTCTAGGGTTTTTGGATTGGGGGATTTTGATTTCGTTAGGTTGGAGGAGAAATTGGAGCCTCTCGTGGATTTTGCCTCCCATGTGACGGAGTTGCATCGTCAGTGACCGGCTTAATTGCCGAACTGACGATCGAGATTCGGAAACCGAAGCCAAGAAATTCTCGATTATTTTGTCCGAAACGGAATCGCTGATTAGAACTTCTGGTTTCGATTTCCGCGGATTTGCAGCGCATTCGTCGAGTCCAGATTTCAAGGTATGGCAGTAAATTTCGAGTTTATTGAGTTTGTTCTCCAATTCCGCCATGGAATATTTCAGCCTCGAAGCTTCGAGAACCGCTTCATCTCTCTTCCTCGTCGCCTGAATCAATTTGTGTGAAATTTCCCCCAATGCTATCTTCCAATGCTCTTCTCTCGCCGCCCAATCCACCGCTTCGTTCATCGATTTAGGGCTTCTCCGCGTCAGCGACGACACAATCGACTTGAAAATTCCGTTAGGGCTCGCCATGGAGAAAGATTGCTTGGCGACGCCATTGTTGTCCAACGGAACAACGGAGAATTTTTCTCGAGCGTGTGGTCGGCACTTGCTGCAGGAGACCGCTCCTCCGCCGCCGCGGACATAGCCGGCCGACTCCGGGCGTTTCTTGCTGCAGCGTTTGGGAAGAACTCCGTCGCCGCCGTGCGAATGGTGGTGGAGCGGCGTCGGGTGGTGCTTCGCTCCGGCGTCCGTACGGTTAGTGAACTCATCTTCTTCCTCTGTTCTCTCACTGTCCTGAATGATCTGTAACAAAAAAAATTAAACAAATTATTCAATCGGGTTCATCTTTTTGATGATTTTGAACAGAAATTGAAGCTGAATTAAACTGAAAGAGAAAGCGAATTACAGGGAAGAAATGGGGAGAGTGGTAATGGTGGAGAGGAGAGGGAGAAGAAGGAGTGATATTTTTCATTTTTTTTTAATTTTAGTTTCTTAATTTTTGCTTTTTTTTTTCCAGTCTGAGCATTGGTGTTAGATATATATATATATATATGAGAGAGAGAGAGTTTGAGTTTGTTGGTGATTTTTTGTTTTTTTCTCTGTTTTTTTTCATCTTCATTCATTTTTTAAAATATTTTTTCTTACATAAATTGTTATATATTCAATAAAATAGTGAAACATTGTCCAAGAAAATAAAAAAGGTATGTAAAAATATGGGGCTGCCTAAAAAAATAGGGATTATTTTTAATAGGGATTATTTTTACTTGAAAATTTTCAAAATGTCTACTTTTATTCTTTGTCCGTAATATGACTTCAAATATTTGTATTAATGTATTTATATGATTGTGTAACGGTGTCACGCTGGTGAGTTAAGATAAGTTTCGACTTATTTGAATGCACATATTAAAAGTAGCAAAATAATGACAATGACCGAAATATATTTTTCTTACTCTTTCGAAATTGTTTTCTTAAATTATTTTTTATTTTTATTCCTATTTATGCTTATATTTTATTTATCATAATATAAATAAGAGAAGTTCTTTTTTTAAGTACAACGTGGGAATTCCAACTTACAATCTTTTTTAGAAGGAAATATATGTCTTAATTGAATAAGGATTTCATTAATGATTGTGATGATAGAAACTTAATTAATAGAGGTATAATTCAAAGTTTACAAACATGATCTAAAACTTTACAGAATTTAGTGACGACTAAATAGATACATAATGCATATAATACTCGATTAAATATATAATTTAACATAGTTTTATTTGGTTTATTCAACATTAGTTAGTAAATAGTAGTATATAATACGAGCTAAGTCTAACCATAACCATATAAAATTCGGCTCCAAGAAGTTTAACTTGGGTTTACATAATTTATACTTGATTGAAAAATCTATAATTAGTACGGATTATAAAATGCGAGTTTTATAGGTCTAAGTTGTTTATATAACCTATATCGATATAGTTTGTATGAAATTAGTGTCAACATAAACATAATTCAATGATAATTGACACTTATTTCTTACAAAGTTGACGTAAATTATTAAACATGAATGGATAGCGGATGTATTCATGAACTTGAGTAGGTCAAAAAAAAATTTCTAAAGATTGCTTTTTGGGATTCCCTTTGTGGGTTGGGTTACTTTTTTTTTTCTTTTCAAATCTCTTTCTTTGTGCTTTCTTGGTCTCTTTCTTTTGTCCTTTTGGTCTTTCTCCCCTAACATTCTCAAGTTCTTCTTCCATTTTATTATTATTTTTCTAAATTTTTTTAAAGAGAATATAACATCTCTGTCTCTTGTCTTTTTTTTAGTTATTTGAGCTTTTGGATTTATTATTTTACTAAAAAAGAGGTTTTTGGATGTAGTCACAAATATTTTAGTGAGGTTAAAAAAACACTATTTCATCTTGTTTACCCTTAAACTTTAATTTGTAACGATTTAATATTTGTACTTTTAAATTGGTAATAGCTTAGTCTCCGAAACTATATATATGTACAACTCAATTTCTATAGCTTTGAGTATGTAATGTTTTAGTACTTGTCGTGAAAATTTTTGTTAAGGTTTAATAAGGTTTTTTTTATATGTGTAGATCAATAAATTGATGAGGGATCTAATGTGTTATTTTATTGTTGTGTATAGCTTTTTATGCTTTTCTTTTTGCTTTTCTTTTTGCTTTTTTATGGTCTTGTTATTGTCTTCTTTCTTTTTATATCTATCCATATGAGTTATATTAAATTGCAGATACAAAAATGATAGAATTATTTTAGATTGGATCAAGTACAAGTCTTCAACAGAGGTTGAAAAAAATAGGTAATAAAATTAAATAAGAGGAAACACTTCTCAACAGAGGAATCGATAAATAAGTTTAGTAGTTACTAGCATCATTCAAATGAAAGAAAATAGAAATTAGAATTGAAAATTTACAATAGAAAATGAGGTAAAAGTTAGAATTTTTAGTGGTTAATTTTATAGGTGTAGCATTAAGTACTACTATATAGTAAAGAGAGTTTAAAATGGGAATGTAATAATTGGGGCTTTTTTTTTCTTTTGGGAAAGAAATTCATAAATGAAAAGTTAGCAAAGTTTTTTATCATTTTTTTTACAGCAATTGTTATGAATTTATTCATTATTAACTAATTGTTGAAAATTGAATGTTTCTTTCAATCATTAAATCATGTAAGTAATTGATGCAAGGCATTCAATAGTAATAATAATTATTATTTTATAAATAATAATAATAATAATTAATAACGAGAAGAATTGCCATTTATTTATCATTATTATTGACAAAAGTGCATAAATAATACCAAAGAAGTCAAAGCGAACATAGCTGAGATTGGTATACACCTCCAACCAAGAGGTTGTGAGTTTGAATCCCCTCCTCAACATGTTATACTCAACAAATCTTAATTTTTACTATTATTATCCCATTTTTAATATTCCGCATCATATTTCTCAATCGTTTTGAAGAGCAAATCAGCAAAATATAATATCATCTCAAAAGTTTTATAAAATTAAAATGTAAGACATATAACATCAACTAAAAAGTCGGAAATTCGAATATTTGATCTCACATGTTGAACTAAAAAAAATGTTCACTGGAAGCATTTAAAAGTTACTATTCACAAATGTATTTTTTTTAGTACAATATATGGGGTAGAGAGTCAAACTCACAATTTTTTAGTTGGAGGTATATGTCAATTACTACTGAGTTATGCTCGCTTTGACGATTTGAATTATTTTAAAACATAGATCGTTTAATAAAAAGAAAATGGGAAGAAAAATGGTTAAAAGAGATCTACTTTTGGGTGAATTTGGGTTACATAAAACAAAAATTGAATGGGAAAGGAGGGGCCAAAGAGGCCAAAGGGAGTTAATGAGTCAGAAGACTTTCATAAATGCCTAAGTTTGTGTGGAAGTTTGTATTATTTGTGGTCAATTCTTCCAAACTTTCATAGCTATATCCACCAACCATATTTATTTCTCACACTTCTATGTCTCTATCTCTCCTGTACCCACAAAAAAAATATATATTTTAACATAGTTGTCACGACGTAGGTTCATAATATATTTGTCGTTGATAATCCTGAACATAGCTCAATTTGTTAAGGTATATATTTTCGATATCGAAGATTTGAATCTTCATCCCCAGATGTCGTTGAACCCAGAAAAAGAAAAAAAAAACACACACACATTCGTTTAGTACAAGTTTGAATTATAATTTTTAAATTCACTGATGCAATAGTATAGAATTATCAGTCATATTGTTCTGGTTTGTTCCAAAAATTTCTCTTTTTAACACAATCTCTCTCCTCCTCCTCCATTGAATGTTTCAAAAAAAGAGTTTGTTGGAGATGTCACTCTCTTGCTTCTGACAAAGGTTACTTAGAAATCTACACCCTTCCATGATTTATAAAAATGGAAAAATAGTCTCTATTCGTATTGTGATACATCATTAAATGATATATTATTTTATTTAACATAGACTACACTGTGCTTGAAAAAAAAATTCCATAGAACTATAGTACTTTGAATTTTTTTTTTTTTTATCTATCAATGACCAACTAAAATATTTAGAAGAAAATTATAAAATAAAAAAAATCACTCATAATTTTAGTTAAATCACAATAAAATTGAGCATACTGTTAAATTTTGAAAAGAGAACATCTCACTAATTATTACGAGTTGGTTCAAAGTTATATCACCAGAGTTCAAATTTGAAGGTGCTATTTCTATCTCTCCCCCTAAAAAGAAAAAGACTTAGGTGCTTACGACTCAGCATCTATATGTTGCCAACTACTATTAAAATTTTAATCAATAAGAGAGATAAACGTAGATATTTTATCTATCTTTCAAAAAACAAAAAATATGTCAAATTTTTATTAGTGGTCAGCACAAAGATAAATACTTAACGATAAAAACCTAAACATTGTTCCCTCGAAAATCTAACCTCGAGAGAGTCTAGAAGTTCCTTCTCCATCTCTGATCGCCCAAAAATGTAAACTTTTTGAGAGAGAGAGAGGGAATGGCAATGGCAATGGCAATGGCATGTGAAGATAATAAATGAGAGCATAGGTATGAGGGAGAGAGTGGTCCATAAAATGCAAATAGAAAAAAAGATTGTGATTTTTATGTGCCCTCCAAAATCCCCTATTGCCGCTGACCAATGCCATCTACTATTGTCTTTATCTCTCTCTTCTCTCTCTCCTCACTCTGCAAAAGGTCCAACAAAATTAAGTATACATTTTGGAAGCTTTTCTAGTTCGACAAATATAGGAGTTGACATTCCAACTTCAACCTTAATGAAGGGAATTAAAAGATTGAAGAAGATAAAAAGTCTACACTGTATCTATCCCAAGTTTTTTTAACCGGCAATCGAAGATAATTAAAGTGTACCTTCACCATCCACTATATTTACTATTTAGATATCTATATATGAAAAGCAACGCATATTGAAAGTTACGCGGCTCTACCAAAAAGCATGCAACAACACAATCAACAGGTGAGCCCTTACCCACACGGACATAACGACCTAATCAACTGGATCCACCGAAACAATTTTCTTGGGACCGAATGAGGATGTCTTTGAGAGATCTATTAGTGATTTGGCCACCCAAACTTCTATGTTCTAAACCCTCCAACCTTGTTCGATATAGTGAATGAGAATGCAGGGAAAGCATTTTTAGTATTTAGTACAATTTAAAATACTATAACTTTGTTAGTACATTAAAATACTATTAATTAGTTTATTAATACGTTATAATTTTTATTTCACAATATTATATATTGAGTTAATAACTTGAATTAATATATTTGTCAAAAGTTCCATATTTCTTTAATATAGTTTAACAATACAATATGATTCAAGCTCAAGGTTATGGAAAAAAAAAAAAGGCTCAAGTTTATGAGAAGTTCCAATTTACCTATGCCTCCCAACTCTGTGACTAGTAGATGTTCAACTTTTTACTTATATGATAAACTTTCTGTAACTTACTAATATTTGAATTAAGTTAAAAAAATAAAGGGAAATCAAATAAAATCAACCGTGGGAAAAAAAAGTATTTTAAATGATGTTCAGTAAAACCTTAACACCAAATTTCAACTTTACCTGAACTCTCACCAAAATCCCTCCATAAACTTTAAGCATACCATGCAATATAGGGTTTTGAATTTGCTGATAGCGAAAAATTAACCCTAAATATAAAAGACTCTTTATTCAATTCCTAAAAATGGTATTTTTCTAGCAAAATCACTCTCCTCTCCTCAGTTTCGTCAAATCGCAACTCTGAGACCTGGAGATCATGGCAAGATATGAAATACTCTATCAATTGAACCTATTCATTCAGTTCCATGGTATATGCAAGTCAGCAAGTAATTATGAATTCCACAATGATAAAAGGCCATCCATGTGAAATAGATGGATACACAAAAGATGCAACAAACGGCAGGGTTCCTCCCAAATCCGACGTATACTTCCATTTCGCGTGAGTTTAGGCACTCCTGTACCTTGCATCCTTCCTACTCCTGTTTACTTGTTGTGCACGTGAGGAGGAGGAACTCGGGTTACTGCAGCCTTCCACGGTCATCCTTCCAGCAACTTGAGGATGCTGAGTGGACGGAAGTGCCAGCCCACCTCTGCCAGTTTGCCCAATTTGGCCAATGCCACCGGCTGTTAACAAGCGGGGGAAATGAAATTAGCATCCTTCATAGTCGTCCCTGTTAGAATCCATATAATGAATTAAATTTACCCAACCCATCAGCTTAAGCTTTTGGGTTGAGTGGTGGTTTGTTCATTCTTAAGATGGTATCATAGCGGGAGGTCCTGTATTCGAACCCCTGCGTTGTCGTTTCCTCCCCATTTATTATAATTTCCACTTGTTGGGTCTTGATGTTGTTTTCCAAGCCCACAAGTGAGGGGGAGTGTTAGAATCCATATAAATGAATTAAATTTACCCAACCCATCAGCTTAAACTTTTGGGTTGAATGGTGGTTTGTTCATTCTTAAGAGTCCCTATAGAACAACATAGTCACTATACGGCATTCAATAGAAATAGTTTTGCAGATCACTTTTCTTGTTTACTATTTTTAAGTGATTTCTGTTCTTATATTTTCGCTTATTCTCCTAATTATTTATAGGTTCCAACTTCCAAGGCAGTCGTAATGGTCAGCTAGTTGTTCCTGCACAACTTTAGAATTAATGAATTAGAGGAAGATTTTGGTTAGCAGAAGAGTGGGGACTCTCATTTCGTTAGTTAGGAGCTTGTGTCCAAACAAACACATGAGATGTGATGAAGAGGAACTTAGTATAGAAAACTTTAACGAAAGGAATAACGCTCTCCTTCCAAATTGAGCATGGTCTTCCCCCATCGAACTGATATTTAGTTTGCATAATCTTGTGGTCAGTAAGAATTATCTCCCCACAAAATGCTGGGAAGCCATTTGTTGGCAACGGCACCTAAAGAAATCCTATGTTTGCCCCAATTTTGTGTGCCACTCTCTTTAACTTTATTATTCAATCAATGGAGGAAGGAAGTTTTATTTGCTCTTGAGAGCAAATAATTGGATTGGCCAATGGGGCTATTTATAAACCTCCTTCCTATTCTCAATTACCTTTCCTTTGCAAAAAAGACTCAGGTTTAGGGAGACTTGGTTCCCATAATCTCAATTCTAGAAAAGTTTTCAATTACAAGCTTCTTAAGTTTTATTCTCTTGTCTTACATTCAAATAGTTTGCTAAAACCTATCCATTCGAATAGGGGCATTTGGTCTCTCTCTCAAACCTTCGAGTCCTTTATCTGTCAAATCTTGAAAGCCTTTTTTCTTGGCTTAACTCTCACAGGAGGATCAACGGCTACAATGTTACCTAGAGATCTCTGTGTTGGAGCCTCAGTAGTATGTTCTATGCAAACTAGAAATAATTCATTTTGAAACAAGAAACATACTTTTTGCTAGTGAAAAGTAGTAGGTTACAACCTAATAAACCACTAACCGGTGGAAAACCACTCAAAGTAAACGTGGTAATCTTGATAATGTAGCATTTAAATAAGATATTTGATATACATAATAAACGATAAAGCTCTCTAAGTTCTACCATATATAACCCACAAAAACATCACTATCATGAACTAAGGAGAGGCAGATGAAAGAATCAGATCAAAAGGCAAATATATATTATATGGTGAAATAATAAATAATTACCAATATTATTAAAGCTGTTTGAACTCTCAGCCCAGCTAGGAAAACTTCTTGAATTCCTTGCCCAAGTATCTTCAAAACTACGTAGTTCATCTGTACATTTACAAATGACCACCGTTGTAAGCATCGAGTTAATGCAAACAAAAGAATAAAAATAAAAAATAAAATTCAGTATTAATAGTTACATACCTTCATTAAGATTGTGCAGAGTTTGCATGCTATCCACCTTACCATCAGGATTTAGTTTCCTTGTAACTGAATGACCCTAAAATAAAAGAAATATACTCTTACACATTCGACTAAACAAAGAATAAAAAAGCAATTTAAAAAACAAATGGAGAAAGACGTAAATTTCAAGGGTTGAAAAACCTTATTCGTTGATACCTTATTATGAATCCCTCTTGAAACTCTGTGGCTAGCTTGTCTGGTTGCAGTATCCGCTTCCTTGCTTTCTTCAAATATCATCTATTTACAAGGAATAGACAAATGAGAAAAGAAATTTTCAGAAGTGAATCAACTCCTTACTGGCAATTAAGCTCACTTACGCCATCGCTCCCTGCCCTCCTCATCTTTGATGAAGTATAATATGTTCCATTAGAACCACCATAAGTTACAGAGGAGCTTTGAAATGTGAAGCTATTAGCTTGGGGCTGGACATGCCTACGATTTGCTCCACTGTGATGATCCAAGAGCTGCAAATGTCTGTTCCCCTTCTCTGTAATAACAATAAATGAAACAATTTAGTACCAAATACAGATTGCATAGCCGATGCATGAACACAAGGACCAAGAAAAAGTATAAAAACAACAATCCAGACAAGTCCCACCCTCACCTCCATCATCAGGATCCTCAACGAGAGGCTCTTTGGATGAATTCCTTCTATTTTTAGTCTCTTTCTCGCCTTCTTTCTCATCATCAGAATTTATTTCCTCAATAACTGGGCCCCTTGGTCTTTTAGGCTCAGGGGCCTGATGATCAAGGAATCCAGATGCATGCATGTTTGCAAAAGGAATGCCAGGAGACGCAAAGAAGCTTGACTCGAACATGCTTCCAAACGGATTTCTGAAGAAAGGATCATCAAATGGATCCCGTCCACCAAAGACACTAGACATTAAGCTTCTTTGACCCGGAAAGCCTCCAAAACCAGCAAAGGGATCGCCAAAATCAAAAAATTCATCCCTGCCACCTCTGCTTCTTCTATGCATCGTTACAGTTCACAAAAAATACACCCTGGAAATACAACAAGGCACGGCAATAAAAATTCACCATGATCCGCTCAATAATCAAGTAACTTCAGGTTTCTCACAATTCGTATATAACCAGGAAAGAAACACAAAATTCAACCATAGAGAATATCATCAACGAAAACGATTCAACTACAGATATTTCATAAAAACCACAATACAAAATCCACCATTGCCATTACACAGAAACAAACCGAAATACCACATCAAAAACAAAAGGAACCCACGACGGGAAACAAGATGAACAACATTAAAGATCCTCCATTACAGCATGTCAAACCCTAGATGATCGTGTAGAGAAAGAGAAGCGGTACCTTCAGCGAACAAGGAACGGAGAAAGTTCACAATAATTCTACGAAATGAATCCAACAGACTGAAATTTTGAAGAAATTAAACAAAACGCGATCGTCTGAAGGAAAAAATTCCGAGTACGAATTTCACCGACAGGGAAGGGAAAAAGAGAGGAGGAGGAACGACGTTCTTGAAATAGATGCTTCCAGAGATTAATTTTGGTACACACGTGTCGATCGTTGACTGGTTACCAAATCAAAAAGCTTAGGAGTCTTTTTTTAGGGCCGGACAGGAGAACGGACCAGATGAAAGCCCAAAACTGACCAATTGGGCTGGATTATATTCCTTTCATTCGGCCCATGAACCCTTCTCGTTTAAATTGGTTTGGAAATTATCAGTTTCGTGGAAAATATTTTTATTCTCTAATACTTACAATTATATACCATTTCATATTTTGGTTTAAATTGGTTCTTTTTTTTTTTGCCCTGACCATTCATATTTTGGTTTAAATATGGTAGGATTTGATTTTGGATTTCTGTTGGGACTTCTGATATTATACAATGTTACTTTATACTTTAATTAGTTGATTTCTTAGGGGAGTGATTTGATTTTAAATTTTGTTATTTTGATTTAAGTTAAATAAATTAAATGGTTCTAATTTTGTACGTAATTTTCAATTTACTTTTTGTAGGTAGTCTTAGTCCTTAAACTTTTGAAATTCTCTATTTTATATCTAGTGCATTAAAAATTCTCAACTATGATTTTAAAAAAAATCTTTCAAATCCTTTTCTAAACATAAATCTTAAATTTTGTTAATGAAAAGGTTTGTTATTATTATTATTATTATTCGATTGATGAACAGGCCCGCAATTTCCAAAGAATCCGTCTCAACGTTGATGGGAAAACACTCCAGATTTGCACTCTTCAAATCTCTCACCTTGCTGAGAATTTGAGACTCTCCAATAATCAAATTCGAGGATCAGCTTGGTGGAATTTAGATGCATAGCAAGAGGAAACCTTCCAACATTGCTTGAATTTCTACTCTGAGGTGAATTCAATGAGTAGGACTCAAAATAATGCTATTTTGAAACATATTTATTATCTTTATTATTTAATAAACATAATACATATGAATTGCCGAAATTAAAAAAATATTATGAAAATCTAAACGTGAAAATTTTCATCCATGTTGATGCAAAAATCTATCCAAGTGTCGTGTGTGTTGGGTCCTAGTGAGCTATTGCGGAGCGAGTTGGGTAGGAAGGTCTCTTAGCGAAAGTGTAGCGAGCTCGAGAGGGAAGACCTCTTCGGTCGAGCTGATGCAGCTCAAGTTAGTCTGAGTTCGAGTTGGGTAGGTCAACTTCAGACAGAAATTGCATACCTTAGTGGGTGGAGTGAAGGTGTACACTTGCGCTCTATCATTTATTTTCATTTCAAAATCTCAAACAAGTTTTTGGCGTCATTGCCAGGAACAATTTGTTTTAGTCTTTCATTAATTTTTTTGATCGGTTTTTGTGATTGTCATTTCTGTTCTCAAACATTTTGATTTATATCCAACCTCGAAGGTTATTATTTAGTGCATGAGCACAGATTCTTTTCCGTTGCCCTTCAATCCTGAAATTGAAAAAACTTGCATAGGTTGAGAAAAGAACAGAGACTTAGAAAACTTTTAGAAAAAGAAAAAGAGAAAGAGAAAGATCTCGAAAGTGAGAACAAGAGTACTATCACAATTATGGAAATCCACCACGAAATCCTGCATATCCACCAGTCTATAACGTAAACGACAATATGGCAGGGCAAGGAAGAGGACAACAAAATCATAGAGCTTTTAACCATATCCAAATGACGGATAATAGAGACGTAGTCATGCAAGAGTATGCAGCTACAACATTCTAGAACTTGGATTCGGTCATTTTAAACCCTATTCCAGAAGCTACCAACTTCGAGCTCAAGCCGCTCATGTGTTCAAATGCTTCAGACATTATGACAATTTGGAGGGCGCGAACATGAAGATCCTCATGACCATCTCAAGACATTTCTTCAAATTGCAAATGCTTTTAGATTGCCTGATATCACTGATGATGCTTTGAGATCAACTTTTTTCTCATTTTCTCTCAGGGACCAGGTGAGAACGTGCCTTAATTCTTTTCCACCAGGTTCAATCACCACCTGGGATTTGCTATTGTAGAAGTTTCTTACAAAGTATTTTCCTCTCACTCGCCATGTCGACATAAGAGAAGAAATTGTCACTTTTAGACAATATGACTGTGAACCAATGCATGAGGCATGGGAGAGATTTAAGGAGTTACTGCGAAAGTGTCCAAACCATGGATTACCAGCATGTATCCAGATCGAGCACTTCTTCCGAGGTTTGGACCATCCCACTAAGATGATGCTTAACAATGCTGCAAATGGAGCCTTCACGAAGAAGATCTTCAACGAAGTAATTGATATTTTGGAGACCTAGCATCCCAAAATGAGTTATGGTGTTCTCAAAGGTCAAAACCTGCACCTAAGAAGCAAGACACAGCAGGAGTGTTGCCATTGGACATCACAACTTCGATGTAGAAAGAGATGGTGACAATGAACCAAATGCTCAAGGAGACGGCCTTGAATAGGAAGAATACATCGGCCACACTGGCGCAACCTATGCAACCTGAATATATTGTCCCTTCTCCTGTTTGCCAAATTAATGAAATTGTTTGTTCTTATTGTAATGATAATCATATTTATGAGAATTGTCTGCATAATCCAGCTACTGTTTATTATGCAGGTCACGGGAACAACTGGAACTTTAACCCTTATTCCAACACGTACAATCCGAGGTGGAGACATCATCCCAACTTTTCATAGGGAGGTCAAGGAAGTTCTAGTGGAGCGACTCAAGGGCAGAACCAGCAGTACAAGCAGCCCTATGTTCCACCTATTTACCCGAATAATCAACCACCACCGCAGCAATTTACTCAGAATCAACAAGTTCCACCACAGCCAGCCCAGAATAATAATTCTAGCCTCGAGAATACGATGAAGGAGTACATGGCTAGAAATGATACAGTGATGAGAAACCTAAAGATAGGACAACTTGCTAATGATTTTAAGGCGAGACCGCAAGGCTCTTTTCCTAGATATACTGAAGTTCCAAAAAGAGACGGAAAAGAGCAATGCAAGGCCACTTTGAAAAGTGGATTATTTTATGAAGGACCAAATATTCTGGTTGAGGTAGAGAAACCTTCCACATCAATTCAGAATACCCCTAGTGAGGAGGAAGCGCCTGGTGCCTCTCCACAAAAGAATTCATCTTTTGCCCCGATTACTCATTTTCCTCAAAGATTAGCCAAGAAAAACCAAAAAACCTAGTTTATAAAGTTTTTGGACACCCTTACTTCACATAAACATTCCTTTAGTCGATGCCTTAGAACAAATGCCAAATTATGCTAAGTTTCTAAAGGATATTGTATCTAGGAAAAAGAAGTTATGTGAACATGAGATGTTTGCTATGACCAAGTGTAGTAGTGAAGCTGTAGGTAGCCCTTTGCCCATAAAATGTAAAGATCCCGACAGTTTCACCATCCCTTGTTCAATTGGAGGAAAGAATTTAGGGAGAGCTCTATGCGACCTAGGTGCTAGCATTAACCTAATGCCCTATTTGTTTTCAAAGAGTTAGGCATACGAGAGGCTGGACCCACTACAATTACTCTCCAATTAGCGGATAGATCCATTAAGAAGCCTGAAGGAAAAATAGAAGATGTTCTAGTTCAGGTAGATAAATTTATCTTTCCTACAGACTTCATCATCTTAGACTGTGAGGCCGATTTGGATGTACCTATCATCTTAGGTAGACCCTTCCTAGCTACTGGAGATATGATGTTTAATGTTCGAAAAGGAGAAATAACAATGAAGGTTAATAATGAGGAGGTGAAGTTTAATGTGTAGGATGCAATGAAACTTCCAGGAGATTTAGAAGAATGTTCAGCCATTAGTACTTCGAACCCTGCTTCGTTTGATGAGTTTGATGATATTTTAGTCGCAGAAATTGAGGAAGAACTAGAAGCTACAGAAGATGAATGCCCAAAAATAATTGAAGAGATGCATCCACCAGAGGAGAAAGAGGATATAAAGGCAGAAGTGTGCAAAAGTTTGCAACCATCCATTTTGGAACCACCCACTTTGGAACAAAAGCCTTTACCTTCTCACTTGAAATATGCTTATCTTGGAACTAATGAAACTTTGCCTGTTATTATTTCTTCCAGTTTAACTACTGAAAATGAGCTTTCATTGTTGCAAATTTTGGCGAAATACAAGAAGGTCATTGGTTGGACCATTGCTGACATTCGAGGGATAAGCCCTGCATTCTGCATGCATAAGATCCTATTGGAAGAAGGTGTCAGAAATTCAATTGAAAACCAGAGACGTTTGAATCCAAAAATGAAAGAAGTCGTTCGAAAAGAGATCTTGAAATGGTTAGACACTTGAGTCATCTACCCTATATCAGATAGTAGCCGGGTGAGCCCAGTACAATGCGTACCAAAGAAGGGCGGGATGACGGTGGTAGTAAATGAGGAGAATGAACTTATATCAACCCAGACTGTGAGCGGGTGGAGAGTTTGCATCGACTATCGCAAACTAAACAATGTAACAAAAAAAGATCATTTTCCATTCCCGTTTGTTGACCAAATGTTGGATCGTCTTGCAGGTAAAGAGTTTTACTACATCCTAGACGGATATTCGGGATATAACCAGATTACCATCGTTCCAGAGAATCAGGAGAAGACAACGTTCACTTGTTCGTATGAGACATTTGCCTTTAAGCGTATGCCTTTCGGTCTATGCAATGCACTGACGACATTTCAAAGGTGTATGATGGCCATTTTTTCGGATATGGTCGAAAATATTCTTGAGGTTTTTATGTATGACTTTTCGGTTTTTGGAAATTATTTTGATGATTGCTTATTGAATTTAGAAAATGTTTTACAAAGATGCAAGGACACAAATCTTGTTTTAAATTAGGAGAAGTGTCATTTTATGGTACGAGAAGTGATAGTTCTAGGCCATAAGATTTCGAAAAATTGGATTGAGGTAAATCGTGCTAAGATAGATGTGATTTCAAATCTTATATCTAGGCTCGAGTCCCCACTTCAAGAAGGCCAAGTAGAGATTCAAGAACAATTCAT